AATGGCCAAGATGACACAACTAACAATGAGAGAAAAAAACATGGGAGACAGAAGGTTTATATAAAATTACAAAGATATGACATTTACCAAAAAATATATGCATATGAACATTTATATAGAATGGCTATATAATAAGAGAAATTACGTTTCCACACATGCTAGAATTAAGAATTTGGATTAAAACAATATTTGTGTCTTTTCAATGAAAATAAAATGCTTACCTTTTACCTGCTCTCCGCTTTGAGTGCATGGTTCTGCTTGCATGACTATTATTTCATTTTTTCATGAATTAAAACAGGAGAATATTGTTAAGAAATTACAATTATTTCTTTTTTTCTCTCCCTCTCTCTTTTCCCCTCCCTCCTTCCCTTCTCTCTTTCCCCTCTTATCCCTTTTTCTCTCTTCTTCTCTCTCCTTCCCGTTCTCTCTTTCTCCCTCTTACCCCTTTTCTCTCTCTCTCCTTCCCTCCTCCTTCTGTTCTCTCTTTTCTCTCTTTCCTCCATTTCTCTCTCTCTCTCTCTCTTCCTTTTTCTCCCTCCATTTACCTTTTACATTCACTTTTCTCCCATATACCCCCTCTCTCTACCTACCCCCCCAATCTCCCATTCTCTCTTCTTCCCTCTCTGTCCCCTTCCTACCCTCTATTATTCTCCCCCTCCCTTCGTCTCTCCTTCCACTTTCTACCTAACCCCATTCTTTCACCCTTCCTCCATTTCCCTTTCCCTTTCCTCCCTCATATCTTCCCTGCCTCTTCCCTCCTCCCTCTCCTCATCTCTTTACCTCCTCCTCCTACCTCCACCTCCTTTCCTACCATATTCCCTCTCCCACCCCCCATCTCTTTCCCTCCTCCCTCCTTAACTTCTTTCCCTCTCTTCCCTCTCTCCCTCCATTCCCTTCCTTTCCCCAATCCCTCTCTTTTCTTTTCCTCCTTCCTCCCTCTCTCTCCTCCTTCCTCCACCCATCTCATCCTTCTTCCTTCCCCCTTTCCAACCCTCCCACCCCCCCCTCTTCTTCCCTCCCCCTCCCATCCCTCCAACCCCAACCCATCCCTTTCCTCCTCCATTACCCCTCCCTCTTCCCCCCCCCTCCCCTCTCCCCCCCTCCGCACTTACTTTATTAAGCGTATCCACTCTTCGGGCGCGCAGTAAGGAAAGTTCACGTTATCGAGGTACCGCTGAGCCCCGTTGATGTTCTGACTCGCCGCCACCAGGTTGTTCCTCGTCTCGGCGGCGACGCTGTAGCGGATCTCGAGGTCTCTGAGGGGAGGGAAGGAGGGAGGGGGTGAGGCTGAGGTGGATGGGTGGAAGGAGGGGGGTGGAAGGGGGTGGGGGGGGAGGGGAAGGAGGGAGGGGGTGAGGTTGAGGTGGATGGGTGAGGGAGGGGGGTGGAAGGGTGAGGTTGAGGTGGAGGGGGAAGGAGGGAGGGGGTGAGGCGAGGTGGATGGGTGGAAGGGAGGGGGGTGGAAGGGGGGGGGAGGGGTGAGGTTGAGGTGGATGGGTGGAAGGGAGGGAAGGAGGGAGGGGGTGAGGTTGAGGTGGAGGGAGGGAAGGAGGGAGGGGTGAGGTTGAGGTGGAGGGAGGGAGGAGGGAGGGGGTGAGGTTGAGGTGGATGGGTGGAAGGGAGGGGGGTGGAAGGGGGTAGGGGGGGGTATGGATGGGTGGAGGTGGAAGGGTGGAAGGGAGGGGGTGGAAGGGGGTAATGGAATGGGTGGAGGGGGAAGGGTGGGGAGGGAGGGGGGGTGGAAGGGGGTATGGAATGGGTGAGGGGAAGGGTGGAGGGAGGGGGGGTGGAAAGGGGGGATGGAATGAGTGGAGGGAAGGGAGGGGAAGGGACGAAAGAGGAAGGAAGGGAAAGAGAAGGGAAATATAGAGGTAGGTGGAAGGAAGAGCGATAGAGATAGTAGATAGATAGATAGATAGATAGATAGATAGATAGATAGAGAGAGAGAGAGAGAGAAAGAGAAGAGAAAGAGAAAGAGAAAGAGAAAGGAGAGAGAGAGAGAGAGAGAGAGAGAGAGAGAGAGAGAGAGAGAGAGAGAGAGAGAGAGGGAGAGAGAGAGAGAGAGAGAGAGAGAGAGAGAGAGAGAGAGAGAGAAAGAGAAAAGAAATTGGGAGTCCAAAACGAAGGACAACAAAAAAGAGAGAAAAAAAAAGAGAGTAAAAAAGAAGAGGGATTCAACACATAATGAGAAAATGGGAAAAAAAGGAAAGTGTCAGGAAGATAAATGGAAAAAGTAATGAGTTAACGAAAACCTGAGATCGATGAAGCTATTAAAAATAAACGGAAAAGAAGAGATAAATACAAGATAAATCACAATAAAACACCACCAACAACGCTAGCAACAACAACAACAAAACAGAAAACTAGAAAAAAGAGAGAAACTGATGGGACAGAAAAGAAGAAAGAAAGAAAACGAGAATAATATGATTTATGAGAAAACCGAGCTTGTGTCGAGGGGAGACTCGTGTAAAACAAAACAATGCCGACATATTTCACGGAA